GAAAGGAAAAAAATGCATGTGACTAACAATAGCAACAAAAATTCTAAGTGTTTAGAGTTGATCTGTCAATGAAGAACTTAGAGAAAAACATGACTCTCTTGAGGTCTATAAAAGAAGAGCTTGGATAGATATACAGTTCAGTGTAGAGTACTATATTCTGTGTTCATAGCCCTAGGTTCTATCTAATATGATAGAGGAGGACTAAATGTAAATAAACACTATTCTTATGCATTTATGGATAAAAATATGTAAAGATCTAAATTCTTCCAAAAATCACTCTAAAAATTCAATAGAATGATAAAATTTAATTAAATGTGTGAGTAGCTTGAAAAACTTTCCTATAAACATGCAAAAGAGTAAATGTCTTGAAATGGATATACTATTCATAAACAGGGCAAGATGGCAAAATAACATTTTATACCAGACATGAAGATATATTCCAAACCTATAAGAATGGAGTTCTTCTGTAGAATATAGACTAGATTAGTGATCTGCAAAAAGCTCAAAAATACCCAAATATTCATCAAAATTTTGACAAAGGTGTCATACATGGTGCTTTACATGTTATTCTACATACAGAGGAGAACTTCAGTTGTACAAGATCTCAACTTTAAAGTTAAAAGCATTGTCAGTAAAAGAAACTGTGGGCCTGTTTTGCCACTAATCAAAAAAATGTAAATTGTCAACAAGATGATGTTCCAGATTCAGTAACATTTTTAAAAGGTGTCATATAATAGCCAGCTTTGACAGGGTCACAGTGGTAAGAAAATGTGAGTCTTCATGAACTCGTACTGGGATACAGGATGTTAGGCGGGCAATCTGCACTTCCTAGTAAAGTACCTATAAATCTTACATCCTAACAGTTGTACTTCTGGACAGATAAGCCTAAAACCTACTTAAGGGACAAATACAAGGGTGTTTGTGCAGTATTTTATGTGGTAGGAAGGAATTAGAGTCAGCCTGAGTGACCATCACTAGGGAAATACATAAACCCACACTGTAATGTATACACATGCTGCATTTCTATTCACTTTGAAGCATCATGGATAGATTTTGCTTTTAAAGACGGTTTCAAGTTGAAAGCAAAAGAAAAGACAAGGATAAACAAAAGGGCGAGATAGGCAGAGAAGCAGGGAGGCATACAGAAAAGCAGCATGACAGCATTTATGTAACGTAGGAAGACAGACATACACAAGATAGTACTGTCAGATTCATATATCTAGCCCATTTTGTGAGTCCCTGTTGTGAAAGAGAAAATAAATTGTTGTACTTGAAGAAAAAAAAAAAAAAGCAAGGAACTGGCAAGTTCTGTGGCATGATCTAAGTGTTATGATGGGCACTCTGTCTTTATTTAACAGCAACAAAAGATGTCCCTTGAATGGATCCTATACACAGCTGGAGCTAAACCCTCATTCTGAAATGTGTAGGCAATAATGATGAAAGAAAGTTGGGTGGGGTAAATGGGGTCACCAAGAAAACAGTAGTTCTGTAAGAGCATACCTGGCTGTGACACTTAATCAGACTTTAGGACATCAAATTACTTTTCAGAGAATATTGAGTCTGAGTTCTAGCTGTGTGCCAGACTCAGCAGGCGACTCTTGACTGTGGGGTACCTCATGAGGCCTCCATGTTTGTAGTATTGGTCAACCCTCTATGTTGAATCTTTCACGAACAGCCTGGCATCAAGACACACTTTTGTTTTCAAGCCCTTCCTCCCACTGAACCCTCTTCTTCAGCCCAGAATCTTAAAAACTTGGCCAAACAGTTCCAACCCTACAACTGACTGTCTTAGCGTGTTATCGTATCTCAAGAGAGCAGCATGAGAAAGGGGGACACCACCACAAATTGCAATTGGCATTATTAGTCATAGTACTACACACACCCCTGGTGATGAGGAAACCCAAACTGATTTTTGAAAGGCACTCAGGGTAGTAATGAAAATGACATCTCTATGTGAGTCTTTGGGACTCTGAATGCTCCCTTGCCTGCTGAGACACTTTCTCACCGTTTGGCCCAGGGTAGCCTTCAACTTGGACTCTCTTGTTTTACCCTCAGCCACCTGTGCTGGGACTACAGGTACACAGCATCACACTGGGCTGAGTCTTTATTTAATTAGGTTGCCCTCATACAGCGGTTAGGGCTTTTTTACAGGGCTAGTGACTGGCAGACTCAAAGAGGAGATTTAATGACCAATGTAAAGGGGACACACTGATGCTCAGAGAGCCTGCAAGTTTTTGCTCCATCTGGGCTTTGGATCACTAAGTGCAGGCTTTAGTAAAATCAAACACAAAGGTACCTCTGGAGGCCAGGTTCTCAGCTGCTGAACAGGGCGCAAGCCCTCGGGGACAGAACACACACATCTTGCACATTTCTCTTCTGCACTTGTGAGGGTGGTAGAGTTTGTCTGACAGCAGAGGTGTGACTCTGACACAGTTTAAGATTGGTGGCATAATAAGACAGTGAGCCAAGGAGGAAGTGTGAATTAGAAAAAGAAATTCTTTTTCTGTTCCCTGTAGCTGTAAATAACCTTACTGAGCTCTACACTTCCAAACATATGAGGGAAGATTTTTCTGGGGGAGCTTTTGTTTTGAAGGGCTTTGTCCCTAAAGAACTGGGGTGGGTAAAGATGCGGGTGGAAAACATCTTCGTCTCATGAAACCGGGAATTTTCTTGACTCTTTCATCTCAGGCTTGTAGTCAGTGACCGGTCTGCATTCTTCATCCCTCCCAAAGCAAGAAGATGCCCAGTAGACAATGGCAATGGTTGTCTGCTTCCATTCCCAGGCTCACAAAACTGATAAACAAAAGTAACGAGGGGTAAGGGAGCCTAAGAGTGTTTGTTTGTTTGTTTGAACTGCGATATGTTGGGGTTAAAAATATATTTGGTCAAAAGAAACTAAATTATAGTTGGCAAAATGAAATGCTGTTTCGGTGGCAAAGACCAAGCGGTGAGCCTCGTGGAAACAGACGTGCCTGGGGACGTGAACTGAAGTTGTATTTGGACATAACATGAGAACTTGCTACAGACACAGAATGTCAAGGCTCATGCTGAACCTACTGAATGAGAGCCCATTGTTTAATGAGCCAGTGCTGATGTTCATGAGTTTGTTAAGAGCCAAATTAAGACACTTCCTAATTTTAGGCTAAGTTAATAAATACAGGTTTTAAATGTCGGCATTTAAAATTTTAGTTCTCTGAATGCACAAACTACAGTGGCTAGAGAAATAGTTTTTTGTTTTTTTTGTTTTTTTTTTTTTTTTTTTTACAAATCCTAATATCAAAGTCTAAACTCTCATTCAAGCTCTTCTGTGAATGTCAAGCCTAAGTCCTCTGGGCCCCGGGGTAGCATGTGGTAAAGAGGATAAAACTACCATCTCCCGACAGCTGTTTGGAGCTCAACAACTCCCCATGCATCGGGCTTGTGCCCTCACTCTGGATAGGAAAGACTTTCTTCCAACATGATGAAACCATGCTGCACCAGGGCCAGCTGCATCCTTGCCCCAGAGAGAATTTTTCATGGTGCAGCGCGCTATGTTTACGACCAGGCTGAAGCACGAGCTTAGTCTGATCAGTATCAGAGAAACTCCCGTGCAGTCTGTGTAAGCAAGAGGAAAATGACCCCGGGGGCAGCCCACTGCAGCAGTCCATAAATAAATTGGCAGATGTGTCAACTGTACACATTAGTCCAGGAGTGCAGTTCTGTAGGGACTACAGTCCAAAGACAAAGGCATCTGTGGGTTGCCGGTCAATCTGGAGTACTTCTTTTAATTTTTCTGGATGTGTTTTTGACAGGAGCTTAAGGGCAGTTCAATAAATTAAAATGTATTTACATGGCAATGAAGAATTATCTTGACATACTGAGAGTTATTTAATTACCAAGGTGCTCGGCGTGCTGCAAAAGTTAAGACTGTGTCAGCCTTTCTGGGACAAATCTTTATTTTCAGGGCCATGTGGCTCAGCCAGGAATGATCCCCTGGGTTGGAGCTTGTCAGTTATGGAAGATGAGTCTCCTTGCTGACCCCCATTTCCATAGACAGCTCTAAACAGATCGGTAATCTCAATGTCAGCCATCATGATGAAGTCAGCGCTGCCAAGGCCAAATGTCCTCCTTCAGGGATGTGGCCTCCCTCTCAGAGGAATTGTAAATGAAGTCATAGCCCATTTGCAGTCTTCAAAGTGTGTCAGGGTTACTGTCTGTCTGCATGGCATTCAGAGAGCTGTCTTTGAGCATCAAAAGGTAGGTGTGTGGTGTCCACGCTGGCAGCGACAAAGCACAGTAGGTAAGCAGTGACCTCATGTTAACAGGGACAGTACGATTTCCACAAGCTGTGCTGTGTATCAGTCCTGTGTCAAGGGAGTCCAGCCAAGAAGATGTTCCAAGAAGAGACAGGAACTGGAAGCTCAGGGTAAAGTCACACTTAACCTGGAAACAGTAAAAGGTCAGTACCTAGGACTGCCCAGAACTACTGTTTCCAAACACAAGGGTTTTGATAAGTGACAGTTTCAGCAAGGGTGGTTAGTAGTGATGTAGACAGTAGAGTCTCACTCTAGCTAAACCAGACAAAGGAGGCTATGAGAGAGGCAGGGGTGGGGGTTAATAAAAGTGAGGCACAACCTCCCTTCTTCGGAAGTCAATCAAGACTTTAAGAAATTAGGTTGTCATTACAGCCAAGGACATTGCACAGACCGGACTCTGTCATCAGAACCATTGTAGCTATGATAAAAAGAGTATTATTCAGTTCAGGGAACCTGGAAACCCCAACCAGTTCAACTACTTATTTGTGAATCGATAGAGTGATCTGTCCAGTTCTTATATTCTTCATAAACATGTAGGTTTGAATTTCTAAGAGACTTGGTTTAATCTGGTAACAAGATTCTGTTTTACAGTTGTAAAAACTTATGAGTGTTTATCCATCCATTACTTCTGCATAGCTACTGCATCTCCAGAATATTATAAATTGATAGGCCACTTAACTATCTGTCCTAAATCCATGCCTGTAGGTCCAGACATCTTGACCCTGGTGGTGGGATCTGACATCAGCCGCTGTCCCAATACACCATGGCCCACCTGTCGTGGCTACCTGCATAAGAGGACCCACTCGGGCTTTGTGAAGGGCTGGAGGAAGAGGTGGTTTGTGTTGAAGCATGACGGCTATCTCCTGTATTACAAACACAGAAAGGTAATGGCTGACATGGGTAAGAATAATAAACATTGGGAAGTAAAACTGCCACGGACTATTCCATGCCCAAGAATTGTCCTTCAATGAATTATATTGCAGGTCTCTCAAAAAAAGTAGTGTTCCCTGTGACTGCCCAGGAATTGTTCTTCCTTCAAAAGTCAAAGGATTGCAATGTGTGCTCTCTTTCGAGGCACAAATCAAGGCATGTGTTTCTTCTCGTTTACTTCTGTTTCAGTTCTGCGAAGACTTCCTTCTTACTGCAAAGAAAATAGGAACCAAAGATAAGTCTCTGGTGTCATGAAATCAAAGTGGGTCTAAAGAAGCACAGCTCTTTAGGCCACAGTGTAGGCATTGTACCATGGTTGGTAGAACTCAGTATTATTGAGGCTTCTGACACAGGGAACAGAGCAAGTCACCTGGAACACCCATTCCATTGTCCAGGCTTGACGAGAACAGTGATTTCTAAATCTGAGTGAAGGCTAGGGTCACACAGGGAATGTCCCCAAAGGTGTGCTAAGGCAGCCATCCTCCCAGGTGTTTGTGACTGAGTGGATCTGAGACAGGCCGATGAGCTAGTAGACACTTTCTTCACAGTTTTCATCTTGTTATCAGGTGCGTTTTCTCGGCCAGGTGCAATCAGTGTCTAATTTTCTTAAGTGAGTGCAAGCATGCTTAAAAATGACACCAGAGATTTCAGGCAGAACGCCTACTGTCTGACTTCTCATGAAATATTTTCACCAGCTGTCAGTAGTCAAACAGACCCCCTGTCCTAAAGAGCACATGCACTCCCCCACTCAACAAAGGATGCGCTGTGTCCCTCAGTCTTGTGATCTTTTGACTTCACTCCAGGGACATGCATGACCCACTGCTAATCAGGGTTCAAAACAAGGAATTTGCTATTTACCTCATTCATCACACAATCTTATTTTTTCCTTCTTTCTTTTAATCGACCCTCCCCCTCTGTGTGTGTGTGTGTGTGTGTGTGTGTGTGTGTGTGTGTGTGTGTGTGTACATGCACTTGCATACGTGTAGAAACAAAATTTCTTCCTGAAAGAAGCTAGTAATCAGTGTGTTATGAAAATGAAGAAATGAAGTATGGTCTGCTAGTGAGTTATTGTAGGGACTTTCCATTCTTGTGCCATGAGCCACTCACTTGTGGCAACTGTGAACGGCTCTGCCTTTCAAAGGAAAGGCAACCAGACAGCTCCTTTGAGAAACTTTGTCTCCCTCCAGTGCAGGAAAATAGGATTTTCTCTAAATAGGATGAGAAATTATTATCTGTCCTTGGTTTCTATTTTCTTAAGTATTAAAGTGGAGCAGACAAGACATTTTCAATCTAGAAAACATTTGGGGAAACACTGGACATGAGTTTCCAATCTGTGGAGACACGAACATTCACGTTTCAGAACCATGGAGGAGTCCCCCAACTGTGCCTGGAGTCTCCTCCTGATCCCCTGAAGGGGCAAGAGTGTAGGGCTGGAAATTCAATGATCTTTGTTTTGTTTTGTTCGTTTGTTTGATTGTTTGTTAAGTTTCTAAAGTAATTCTAATTTGTAAATTGAATAAATATTGCACTCAAATGTATTCCAACTTAAAGTAAACAAAAATAATTAATAGTAATAATAACAACAACAATAATATAATAATTGACCTTGTGTCTGTAATCCTGAAACTGTTTGTCTTGCATCGGTCACTAATTTCTGTCTCCTCTTACAAAGCAGGGATCATAGTAGATGTTGGTTTTTAATGCACTTCTTCAACAAAATAATATAAGAAACGTCTTTGAGTCAAACATCTCTTATTTTAAGAGTTCTGATTGCTGAGATTCAGACAGGCCCCAGTATTTTCTGGCTATGTTTGCTAGGTGGCAGTCAGGGAACAGCTCAGCTCATGTGATGTTTTTGTGAACCTTTGAATAAAATACATTCAGTTGAAGAATGTGTGGCACAGTTTACCGAAGTCCCACTGTTGTTCATTGCCTCATCTACTTACTTGTATCACCTACCCAACTTTGGGCATTTGAAAGTATGAATCCTGGGGTAGAAGATGTGTGAAATTTTTAAACTGTAGTAGTAATTTTTGTTAAATTTAGAATTTAACTAAACCTATCTATTTCTAGTCTTCACTGGGCATGGGGATGTGGGTGTCGTGACTGACGCACAGGTAAGAAACAGCTATTATAAAGAATGCTATCTGTGGCAGTCATTGCTACATCTGCTCTTGACGCAACTATAGGAGAGTATAAAAAGATAGCATTATTTCATGTTTAAAGAGCCCAAATCAGGTGCCTTATACTGCTACCCATTCCAGAACACATTATGCCTGATATGTAAAATAGATAGCAATGTCTGCAAAGAGCTAATGAGGCATACAAAGGACATAACCAAATACATTAGCAGAAAGTTCACTCGTCCATTCCAAAGTCATTCATGCAACACATATTCACTGGATACTTCTTACACGCCACGTATGATGTATGAACCAGGAGGAAAGCAAACAAGCACGGCGCCTGATGTCTGTGTGCATCTAGTTCCATGTAAGAAGCCAATGTAAGAAATTAAAGCCACAAGTGAATATGTACTTTTGATTAGTATTACACATAAAAGTATAGAGAGAATAGATACAGCATTCTGAATCAAAGGCAGTTACTCTGTTCTCAGCTGCCCAGCTGTCAGAAGATAAAAGGTAAACTGTAGAAGTTTATCTGATAAAGTGAATGACTGATAAAAGAGTGACTACAATATGTTATACAAGAAGACTCAGTATATTATCAAAGAAGGCACATGTTATCAAAGAAGGCACATCCCCGGAAGGACAAATGCAGAAGGAATCTGTCTGTTCCCTTTCCAAAGCTGGAGTTCTAGGGAAATAAGACCTTACTCAGCTGGACTTCACAGAGCAGTCTGCAGGCCTGGTACAAACAGGAAGCAACCCTTGGGGGCCCCAGGATGCAGGAAACCTTCTGTGGTTGGTGCAGAGCGAGAACGCTTGTGTGGCTGAAAGGCCTGGGACATGAGAGGGCCTTAGTGTAAAGGCTCTGTTGGAAGTGGCTTAAGAAGGGCAGTAGGAGACAAACCTCTAGGAAGAGGGAAGAGAGCAGGGAAAATCAGAGTCTCCAGGAGACCTACACAGTTTGTCCAAATGGTAATGGTCACCGAAGGGTGACCACCAGACCCTGCTAAGGCTGCAGGGTCCCAGAAGGACCGCATGTGCTCTGCCCATGGCCGGGATAAATCACCTTCTGCTGATCACATACCCAAGCTCCCAGCCTACCCTGCAGCAACTGCACAGAGCAAGCACTTCCCTTCCCTTGCAGTGTTCCTCTAGCGCCCTCTGCTGAGAAATCTTAGCACCACTGTGCTTTTGCAGAACTAGATATTGAAATGAGTTTTAAATTTAAAAAAAGAAGGAAGGAAGGAAGGAAGGAAGGAAGGAAGGAAGGAAGGAAGGAAGGAAGGAAGGAAGGAAGGAAGGAAGGAAGGAAGGAAGGAAGGAAGGAAGGAAGGAAGGAAGGAAGGAAGGAAGGAAGGAAGGAAGGAAAAGAAAGAGAAAAAAGGAGATGTCAGGGGGTGATCAGAAGCTGAGACACACGAGAGCACAACTGGAAAAGGAGTGAGAAGTTTGGGTAAATTAGGAAGAGGTGTGAATATAGAATTGAGAGAGAGAGAGAGAGAGAGAGAGTCATTCATGTCTAGGGGAGATTATGACATTTCAGCAGAGACCCAAGAATTTAGTAGAAGTTAGCCAGACAGACAATTAGAATAAACATTTATTACCCAGGCCAAGAAAGCAAAATATGTGAGATCTCTAGGAAGAACGGAAGGAAGGAAGGAAGGAAAAGAAAAGATATACTGTGTTTAAGGAATTTTAAAATCTCTACTGTGGCCCAAGGGGGAGGATGGAGAAGGAAACTTAGTCTGGAAAATAAGAAGGGCACAGCCTCCCTGAGACTGAAGAGAAAAACACTTTGTGATGTTCTTTTGACTAACACAGAAAATGCCCTAGGTTGTGGGATTTCCTAATGGTATTCTGGCCGTTTGGCTGAAAACAAATGAGAGAGTGACAGGAGTCAATGGGGGAAAGCCAGGGCTGCATTCCAGGCAGCAGGCTATAGTAGTCCTGGTTAGGTAGAATGACTTGCAAAGATATTTCAGGACAAGAATCAACAGCATTGACAGACTATTCTATCAAATACTGCACACTGGGCACCCCAGAAGCAGAAGACATGCATGTCTCACAGCTCAGGGGTGATAAGACTCAGAGCAAATCACCAGCTGACTCACCACCTGATGAGGGCTCACTTCCTGCTTCTTTAGGATGCCATCTTCCCATTGTGTCTTAGCATAGAGACAGGGAAAAGAGAGTCTTGGTGGCTTTGTAGGTCCTAATCTCATCTATGATGGCCTAGTCTTGTGACCCAATCATCCAAGAATCCTACCTCCAAATTCCTATGCACTGAGGATTAGATTTCAGCATTCCATTACAGGAAACACATAGTTAGTTTATAGTCTAGAAGTAGTATAAATGACTCTGAGTTTCCCAGAAAGAGTGATTGGTGAGGTAAAATTCTAATGATTCACTGAAATGAGAATAGATCAAAAGAATATATAATCTGAAGTTTAGAGGGAACTAATGCATTATTATGATTGGAGTGTCTTTGTAGGGTATTCAAAGTTAGAGCTAGGAAGAAATTGTGTGTGTGTGTGTGTGTGTGTAGTATGAATTGCATATATATATTTAATGTTCTATGTTATAATATGGTAGAAGTTAAATATATTCAGCCATAGAAGTTGATAAAGGTGCAAAGGGAGCATTTCTTTAACTCGGGCTTTGAGGGTCTGCACAGAAGGAAGTAGACAAGGCAATCAGAGAAGCAGGAGCAAAACCCAGGGTAAACACATCATAAAATAAGACAAGATTATAGTTTCAGGAAGGAAGGTGATGAGTTCCCAGTCTACCAGGAGGCCATAGGAGATGAAAATTAGAAAATATTTATTTCT